GATTACAGGTGCATAATACCACGCCCAGCTAATTTTGTATTTTTAGTACACATGGGGTTTTCTCCATGTTGGCTGAACTCCTGACATCAGGTGATCCACCCACTTCGGCCTCCCAAAGTGCTGGGATTATAGGCATAAGCCACCATGCCCGGCCTACGCTTGTATTCTTCTAAGAGTTTTATAGTTTTCATTTTTACAGTTGGGTCTTTGATCCATTCTGAGTTAATATTTGTACATGGTATGAAGTGAGGGTCTAACTTCATTTTTTTGCATGTGATATCCTGTTATCCCAGCACCATTTGTAGAAGAGACTTTTCTTTCACATTGACTAGTCTTGGCATCCTTGACAAAAACCAATTGCTCATAAATGTAGGGGTTTATTTCTAGACTGTCAGTTCTATTCCACCAACCCATATGTCTATCCTTATGCTAGTATAGTACTACACAGTCTTGATTACTATAGATGGTAGTAAGTTTTAATATAAGGAAGTGTGTTCTTGAAAAAGAAAAAAGTAGGAGGCTACTTAAGTTTTGGGTATTAGCAGCCCCTTGCAATTTCACATGCATTTATTTATTTGAGACAGAGTCTCACTCTATCACCCAGGCTGGAGTCCAGTGTTGTGATCTCGGATCACTGCAACTTCCACCTCCTAGGTTCAAGGAATTCTCATCCCTCAGCCCTTCAAGTAGCTGGGATTACAGGCACCTGCCACAACGCCCAGCTAATTTTTTATTTTTAGTAGAGATGGGGTTTTTACCATGTTGGCCAGGCTGGTCTCCAACTCCTGACCTTAAGTCATCTGCCCGTCTTGGCCTCCCAAAATGCTGGGGATACAGGCGTGAGCCACCAGGCCCAGCCAATTCCATATGAATTTTAACATCAGTTTTTCCACTTCTGCAAACAAATGAAAAGGTTGTTGGAATTTTGATAGGGATTATGCTGGTGGATACTTTGTGGGGAGTATTGCTGTCTTAAATTTCCCTTAAATTTGTCTAGCAGAACACACAGAACTAAATCACACAAAGGGAGCAGTGGTAGGCAGGACACTGAGGGAAACACAGTATATAACTTATCTGGAGTAACTTTCTTATACTTAGATATACAAAAACAGTTATCTCCTCTCTTGATTTTACCAATTTCAGTGGTCTAGAAAATGTGAATATACAGGGGTAAATAAAAGTTAACATGACCGAAGAACTGAGAAGACAATTATTTCCTTGTTCAAGCTGCCCTCTCCCCAACCCCAGTCAAGATAAATGAGAAGGAGGTGGACAGGTTATGGTTTTATGATTTATAATCAATCCACAGACCTGGGATAAGGGCCTTCCAATTCATCCTCAACTGTTTAAAACATTAATTTGGTGGAAGACGCCAGAAGCTTTCAAAAAGGAAATATTCCAGGAGGGTAAGGAAGTGATGATCACAGCATCTTCAACCTTTGCCTTTTTCCCCAGGACCCAAAAATGACCAACTGCTATGAACTCGGAAAAGAGCGCGTCTATTTGGAATAACACAATTTTTTCATGTACTTCTGCATCCATTTGCTCTTTAAGATAAACCCCGTAAGGTTTACGAAACACAAGGACCATTTGCACCGTTTAATATCTGAAATCTTCCTTCATCCCCCGGTTGAGGTTTTCACAGTGCAGTGGGTTTCTGCCTGAAATGCTGACAGTGAACATACAGTACTGTTCCTACTCAAATCACATCCATCTAGTACTTCTGAACACTGCCCTTCAACTTAGTCACAATGGGTGACTTCTAACTAATTATAGTGGAAGAGCATGAACCCCAGGGCTTCTGCTGGAGGTTAAGTCACAACAGGGCCCAGGACAAGGTGGTTCCCATTGATCACCTGTGGCCCAAAGAAGCAGCTCCCTGTTATGGATGGCTTTGTTCCCTGAAGTGAGGAATTACGTGTAATTCGAAAACCCACACAACATCCTGACCCAGCTCTTGGCATCTCTCTTACACTTAGCCTACAGTGTTTGTTCAGCTGGTGTTGGTTGAATGCAGTGCTTTTCAATCTTGAGACCATCAGAATCATCTGCGAAACTTTCAAAAGACACAGGTTGAAAGATTTATTCAATAGGCCTAAGAGTAATGTCCCAGCCTTTCCAAATAAAAAAAAAATTCCACAGGTGATTCAGTTGAGATTATTAGGTTTAAGAAAACTCTCTTCTCTAAACCACACCTCAACTAATTCATTTTATGTAAATAAATAATAAAGGCAGATTTGGGGTTGGGCCTCTAAGAGATTTAAATCCTAAATAGGAATCAGGCACTTCATTTTCAACCTGACTGGAAAAAAATAATCTCTACCATCCTAACTATCCTTCATATCATCCCAGCCATGTCCATGTTTATTAGCTGTTTAAATTTTTTTTCTCTATCTTATATTTTGAAATCTTAGCCTGATGGAATTATTTAAATTATCCAACCCTAAAAATGTTCACTCTGCCCTGACTTGCTATTCCTAAGTAAACCCCATAAATGATCTGGCCTAGACTTTCTACTTGTTCCTATTTTTTCCTCCTAACCAAAAGCTGATGCCTCCTTTGCAGCTCTGCACGTGCTGGCATGTCCCCTTTTCTTGAGAAATGTAAGAAAGAAATTATTTCAAGCCAGATGTGGTGGCTCATGCCTGTAATCCCAGCACTTTGGGAGGATGAGGTCAGGAGTTCCAGACCAGCCTAGCCAACAAGGTAAAACCACGTCTCTATGAAAAATACAAAAAATTAGGCCGGGCGCGGTGGCTCAAGCCTGTAATCCCAGCACTTTGGGAGGCCGAGGTGGGTGGATCACGAGGTCAAGAGATAGAGACCACCCTGGTCAACATGGTGAAACCCCGTCTCTACTAAAAATACAAAAAATTAGCTGGGCATGGTGGTGCGTGCCTGTAATCCCAGCTACTCAGGAGGCTGAGGCAGGAGAATTGCCTGAACCCAGGAGGCGGAGGTTGCGGTGAGCCGAGATCGCGCCATTGCACTCCAGCCTGGGTAACATGAGTGAAACTCCGTCACAAAAAAAAAAAAAAAAAAAAAAGAAAAATACAAAAAATTAGCCAGGCACGGTGGCAGGTGCCTGTAATCCCAGCTACTTGGGAGGGTGAGGCAGTAGAACTGCTTGAACCTGGGAGGCGGAGGTTGCAGTGAGCCAAGATGGTACCACTGCATTCCAGCCTGGGCAACAAGAGCAAAATGCCATCTCAAAAAAAATAAATAACATATAAAATAAACAGAAATTATTTCAACAGCACTGGCCTCTTCACGTTGTCACTTAGTCTCCTCTATAAATTAAAACCCCAAGACACCCTGCCCTACCCATGCTTCCGGGCTGCCTATCACTCTTGTTCTACTTTACCCAATTGGAAACCGTATTACAAACTAACTTAGATTTCCAAGCCAGAGAGCAAGTAAACACCTCCTAAATCCTTCATCCAGGAAAACCTCTTTGAAGGTTTTGAAACTCAACATACAGAACTGAATGTAGTCTTACCCAGTAATTCCACTTCTAGAACACAAAAACTTGTGCCATGAACACCAATGTTCATAGCAACATTATTTACAACACCCAAAAAGCAAAAACATCCATATCCTTATCGCCTGATAAATGGATAAACAAACATGGTCTATCCATACACGTGATTATTATGCAGCCATGAAAAGCAGTAAAGTACTGATTCATGCTACAAGGATGAACCTTGAAAACATGGTTAATAAAAGTCCAGGAGAAACAGCCAAGTATCACGATTCCAATCACATAAAATGTACTGAATAGGCGAAACCATAGAGACAGAGAGTAGATTACTGATTGCCAGGGGATGGGGTCGGGGGATTTGGGGAGTGATTACTAATGGGCATGGCTGTTTCGATTTGGGTTTTAAAACGTTCTGGAATTAGCGATGATGGCTGCAAATCTACTGAAAACCAATGACCGTACACTTCCAAGTGTGAATTTTATGATAATAAATCTTTTTAAAATCATATTGTTTTCCCTGCAAACTGACTCCTTTACACTTCTCCTGTGTTCATTATTTCAGTAACTAGAAGCACACTACTCAGACGCTAAGGCCAAAAACCGGCAAATCGTTAACAATTAGGTCATGGCGATGCTGAATATTCCTCCATTCTTTTCGCTCCGCTTCCTAATTCAGGCCACTCTCATTTTCATCTAGATCACACAACATGAGCCTCCTAACAGGTGTCCTGGCTTCATCCGTTTTCACTGTAATTAGGCCTTAAAAGAAAAAAATCTTACGCCCGGCGTGGTGGCGCACACCTGCAATCCCAGCGCTTTGGGAGGCCAAGGCGCGGGAGGGTTGCTTGAGTCCACGGTTCGAGACCAGCCTGGGCAACATGGTGAAACTCCACCCTCACCCCCACCCCCGCCCCCATCTCTATTAAAAATAATAATAATAAAAAGCAGGTAGCGGTGGCTCATGCCTGTGATCCCAGCACTTTGGGAGGCCGAGCGGGTGGATTCTCTGAGGTTAGGAGTTAGAGACCAGCCTGGGCAACCCGGTGAAAATCCATCTCTACGAAAAATACAAAAATTAGTCTGGCGTGGTGGCGCGCGCCTGTAATCCCAGCTACTTGAAAGTTGAGGCACGTGAATCTCTCGAACGCGGAAGGCGGAGGTTGGAGTGAGCCGAGATCGCGCCACCGCGATCCAGCCTCGGCGACAAGAGCAAAATTCCATCTCAAAAAACAAACAACCGACGCTGAAGTTGAAGCTCAAAGCCTTAACATGAAGTCCCTCCAATGCCAGACAGTGGCGAACCTCTGCCACCTTTCCCTCAGGCCCTGGCCGGCTTTGCCCCAGCCGCGCAAAAGAGCTCGGGCATCCCACCACGCCGCGGCACGCGCGGTATAATCCCCTCTCCACGTAGCTAACCCTCCCCGACCTCCAGGCCTCAACTCTCACGCCATCCCCACCTGAGAGCAAGCTCCCCGGGACCCCAGGCCGGATTTGATGCCTATCCCCACGTCCCCCTCACCCTGTTCACTCTCCGCTCCACAGACAGGTGTGCCTAGAGACGGCTGTCATTATATCCGCGAACATTTCCTGAGCGAGCTGGGGAAGAACCAGACTTTATCTCAAAGCTGCCACAGTGCACTAAACTCGCCCTGACTCTTTCTCAACAATTAATAGAGTCCACGTGGGGAAAGCGCCGCTTCCGCCTCGCCCCGCCTCCTGTTGACCGGAAGCGCTAGCCGGCGCGCACCCGCGCCCGGGGCCGCAGAGGAAGACGGGAAGCGAGGCTGCCGCATCACGGCGCGCGCCCGCTCTGCGTCTGCGCACAGATGATTCGCGGGGGGCATGGGCAGCGCATGCGCAGGAGCGTGAGTCTCCGTTAAGAAGATGCAGCGGCGGCGCCGGAGGTAGGAGGAGCCGGGCTGTGGGGCTGGGAGTCTGCACCCGGGAGGCGGAGGTCCTGTCATCTCCGGCCGTTCTTGCTCTCCTGAGTGAGAAGAGCCTTTCTCGCCCGTCTCGCTCGCTGGCTCCGTGGCCTCGGCAGGCTCGCAACCCCGACGAAAAGGGAGGAGCCGCGCTCGGGTGGAGAGGGACCCGGGCCCGCCTGGAGGGAGGAGGGTGGCGGATCCGGATCCCCACGGCGGTCGCGGCCCGGGCCGAGGATCCGGGGATCGGGGTTCTCCGTCTGGCTTTAGAGCCGTCAGAGTCCTTGGCAGCCCTTTGCCCAGGAGGATCCCTCAGCCTCTTTCCCTAGGTCGCCGGGTTGGGGGAAGCGGGGTGGGGGGTCCGCCCCGCACCGATCCATTCATTCACCCCGCGCCGGCTGTGAGCCGGGCGCCACGATAGGTATGAAGCGGGGAGGAGCAAGACCCCTTCCCTCTGGAAACCTGCAAGCTTGCAGGATCCCTTATATCATTCAGTAAATATTGATCGGGTACCTATAGGAGGACATAGACTGTTGTAAGGTTCGTATCAACAGAGATGCGGAGTTCAACCCAGTTGTGGAGGGTGGAATTTGTTCCACCCGCTCCCCACATCCAACAGGATAAAATTCACTTTGCCTAGCCTGACCTTCCAGGTCCGTGTGGGCGGGTCCTTGCCTCTCCCCTACACCTTTCCCTCCACTCCCATTTTACCGAACTCTCTGCAGTTCATGAATTCAACAAGTAGTTGTCGAGCACTTATTTTCTAGTTAGGCACCGGATCCGCCAGAGGATACAAAGTAAAATAGATCGATCTCTACCTTCCTGAAGTGTTGAGCTTAATGGGAAACAGATAATAAGCCGATGAATAAAAATACGAGAGCGGATAGTTTGGAACCACACTACCTGGGTTTGATCTCAGCCCTGCCACTTTGAAAGCTGTTCCCCAACTGGCTTTGAGCAATTTCCTCTTTCTGTTTGTGCCTGTTTCCTTGGTGTAAAGAAGGTTGACAGGGCATTCCACCATATAGGCTTCTTGTAAGAATTAAATGAGTTTGACTTGAAAAGCAATTGGAACAGTGCTTAGCACACAGTAAGCATTCAACAAATATTATCTATTTCATATGATTATAACCTATGACAGATACCATTGTGAAAACAGTGGGCCTTGATAGGGATTAATGGGGATGGAGAGGGTCCATAGTATACTTCCCTAAGGGGAAGACACAGAAGAATGAGCCAGCCATACAACGTAGATTCTAGGTATTTTCAGCTATGGAAAACAAAATGATTAATCAGATTCCTTGGGCAGTGGAGACTGCATTATTGTATTTGAAAGGAATAACTTTCTGCCATTGGGTCATTCAGTTTTGATTTTTGAACCCCATTAAGCTGTGCGCCAAAGCAAATAACCATGCCCAAAAGGCCCAACCTTTGCATGTAGGGAACATTTCAGTCCTCCAAGTCTGGAGACCCTCACTGGGTTAAAAAGATAGAGAAAAGTGACCTTTTCTCTCCTGAGTGTTCATGGGAATATAGTTTCTCTTTCTGTCTCTTACATTGCAGTATTTTCAGAAAGAGCCTCTTTAATAGCCAGGGGTCTTAGATCAGTGTTAGAGATAGTTTTCCTAGACTTGGGGATCATCCTGTTTCTATGGTGACTGCCTTTCATGGGGTTTGCTCTCCAAATTTCAGTTAAGAAAACACTCTCCCAAGATGCACATATTTTAATACCTGTGGAAGAGCAAGCTTTGACAGGCTTCTAGATCCTTCTGTTGTGATGTCTGATAGGATGGTTAGATTATGTTAACCAGGCTGGACTGACTATTTGACAATATTGTTATCTGAAGACTCTTCCCTCACCCCACATGCTTTGTCCCTCCCTGGAAGAAATGGCATAAAATGACAATGTCTAATTACATTTACATGCTTTTGGTTTTCCACAGATGTGAAATTAAGTGAACCACATATGCTTCATCATCATCGGGATCTTGGAGAATTATCTGAGCACCAAGTTCATACGTAGTCTATCTCAGAGGCATCTATTGGACAACAAAACATTCTTTGAATTGTGAACTTTATTTATTTATTTTTTGAGACACAGTTTCAGTCTCATTGTCCAGGCTGGAGTGCAGTGGCACGGTCTTGGCTCACTGCAACCTCTGCCTCCCAGATTCAAGCAATTCTCCTGCCTCAGCCTCCCGAGGCTGGGATTACGGGTATCTGCCACCAAGCCTAGACAATTTTTTGTACTTTTTTTTTTCTATTTTTAGTTGGGACGAGCTTTCACCATGTTGGCCAGGTTGGTCACCAGCTCCTGACCTCAGGTGATACCCCCCTCGGTCTCCAAAAGTGCTGAGATTACAAGCATGAACCACTATGCCTGGCCCAATTGTGGACTTAACAGAGGGAAGCTTTAAACATGTTTCACCACAGCCCCAATTTGAACAAAGATACTTTAAGCATTATAGAGAGGAAAACAGTACTTTTTGTTCAATTGTGCAAACTCTCCAAGTATCTAATTGAGAAGTAGAGAGGAACCCTCATGAAACTGACTGTGAATGAGACTGAGCTAGGCTTAGGTTCACTTTCTCATCTGTCTACATGTCCCCGGATTGACCCTTACTCCTCTGAAGACCAGCCTGAAAGCCTTAAAACTGGTCAGATGATGGATGAGTCTGATGAGGATTTCAAAGAACTCTGTGCTAGCTTTTTCCAAAGGGTCAAAAAACGTGGAACCAAGGAAGTGTCGGGAGAAAGGAAGGCACAAAAGGCCGCCTCAAATGGCACTCGGATAAGAAGCAAATTTAAAAGGACCAAACAAACTGCTACCAAGAGCAAAACCCTTCAGCGCCCTGCAGAGAAGAAATCTCCATCTGGCAGCCAGGCCTCTAGGGCTAAAAAGCAAGTGGTAACCAAATGCCAAGCAAGTGAACCGGCCCTCACTGTGAATGGAGAGGGAGGTGTGCTTGCCTCTGCTCCAGATCAGCCTGTGCTCTGGGAAACAGCACAAAACACCCAGACGGGTAACCGGCAAGAATCACTGCCAGACCTTTCCAGGGAGGAAACCCGAGGTAATTTGTACTCTTTTAAATCAGGCTGGAAAACTTTCTGGAAAGGGCCAGATCGTAAATATTTTGTTTTTGTAGGCCATACAAACTGTCACAACTACTCAACTCTGCTGTAGTAGTGAGAAAGCAGGTGTGGACAGTATGTAAATGAACAGGCATGGCCATATGCCAATAAAACTTTATTTATAAAAATAGGCAGCCAGCCACATGACCATAGTTTGCTAACGCCTGGTTTACTTTTTAATGTTTTTTTTTTAAGCTTAAAAAAAATTTAGATTGATGATGAGTCCTCCAAAAAAAACATTCCTTGGAAAAGCTGAACAAAATGAGTGAAAATTCACACTGTCGTTCTCAAACAAACAAAAAAAAATTTAGAACCGGAGGTCTCACTATGTTGCCTAGGCTGGTCTTGATCTCCTGGGCTCAAGCAGTCCACGAGCCTCAGCCTCCTAAAGTGCTGGGATTACCGGCATGAGCCACTGCGCCCATCTGATTCCTGGTTTAAACAACAGTCATGAAAAATACAGCCCGTGTGAATTTTTCATGATTATGTTTGGAGTCCTCTGCACTTTCAGAATTTTCTATGAAATTCTGTTATGTGGTTGACATGAGTTACACAAACAGCACAATAATGCTGCTTCTCTTGTTTTTGAATTTATTCCAAAATGGGTAAGTTGGACTGGGCCAGCTAATTTGGATAGGCTGCATGAGACTGCTGTGTGGGCCCAAGTCCCAGGAGAATCTTTGGGTTCTTTCTTTCTGTCTCTGAAGATCTTTTAATCTTTTCCTCTGTTGTTGTTATTGATTTATTTACTTAGTTTTTAAAGACAGGGTCTTGGTCTGTCACCCAGGCTGGAGTGCAGTGGCGCTGTCATAATTCAGTGCGGCCTTGACCTCCCAGGTTCAAGCAATCCTCTCTGCCTCAGCCGCCCAAGTAGCGGGGACCACAGGCACTCACCACCATGCCTGGCCAATTTTTTATGTTTAAAGCAGTTTTCCTGCCCTGCTGCCCTTGGTATACTGAGCTATATGCTTAGCACACATTCTTCATGCAGAAGTGAAGACCAGCCTTGCATATATAATACGCAGTGGGCTCTCTGAGCTCCTGAATTTTCTTTCTAGATTTTCTTGCCTTTACTTCCTGATCTTCAGTAACATTTTTTTTTCTAATGTGGTCAGAATCACCTCTCAGTAGAGTGGTGGTAGTGTCTCGGCTCGCAGAGACTCTGGAAAGGCTTCAGCAGTGTTGCCTTACCTACTTTACTGGTATCTTTTGCTCTTTTGCAGTCGAATGAAATCTATGCATGATGCACACACCTGCAAAACTGCCACACAACTTCAGGGGGTTCATGGATCCCCACTGAAGATCATCTGTGGATCCCAAGTTAAAGAAGAACTAATCTAGGACATAAAACTTTGTTATTAATATTTCTTTAATAACAGCTTTATTCGGATGTAATTGACAGTCCATAAAATTCACCCTTTAAAAGGGTATGGTTCAGTGGTTTTTAGTATATTCACAGAGTTGTCCAACAACCACCACTACCTAATTTTAGAACAGTTTTTTCATCCTAGAAATAAATCCCGTACTCATTAGCAGTCACACCCCACTCCCTCCTGTCATTGATATTTATGTCTATATTGCCATAAACGAAGAGGTTACCAACAAGCAACCAGTCCTCTTCACATCTGTGAGTCAAACCTAAACTAGCTGATAAACTTACACCTAACCTGTATCTGGTGGAA